TAGACATACAAGAAATTTGTCTTTGGTGCAGAAGCTCTCAGTGTGTATGTATGTCATTATAAACTTCATACAATTAATGAATACTGTTAATCAAATACAACTGCTTAAAAATGACCACTTTCTCTACATTATCCAGCAAACCCCTCCCAAACATTCATTCCCATAAAGATTTTATCTTCCAAAATCTTTTTCTTCACCGCTAGAGCCACTAAGCTATTTCAGCAAGGGTTGAGGGTCTGAACAAGAATTTAAACTTTCAGAGCGCTATATCTATAAATGTTTAATCTTTTCATTTCTGCTCATAAGATGACTGTCCAGAAAATATATTATTGCAGAGAATGCCACCAGTGTCCCATTAAGAACAGATGATGGACAGGAACTTCAAAATCACCTCCCTGAACTCCCATTTAGAAGGTTTTGTGGGGTTAAATGGAATCACTTTTTTTGAATATACCCGGAACTGAAAATCTGAGGACTTTTTTTTTCCTCTTCAAAAAGAATTTTACCACCTCTATAGTGAAGGAAAATCACCTTTTATTTCCAAGGCGATTGGTCAATGCTCCTTGTTAGTCACGGTCTGTTATATTTATCAAGAAATGGACAGAAAATGAACAAAATTGCTAAAGCATTTATTATTCAAAAGAATAGAAAACCCAGGTATGAATTGGCAATAAATAAATAAAATGATCCCAAATGCATATGTCTCCTCTCTCAAAAAAAAAAAAAAAAAACACCCCCCGAAAACCAGAGGACACCTTTTTGTATCCAAGTGAAGGTGCCAATTCAGAAATAATTATTGCAATTTAGAAAGCAATTCAACATATCCATCCATACAGGAACCAAGTGATCTGTGTTCCTACTGCTCAATCGGCTCACAGCATGCTAAGGTTGAGTCACAAATTCAAGACCATTTCTCTCTATGTTTTTATCACTCCTCTTAGGAACCTAAAATAATAATAATAATTTAAAAACCCTTCTCTTCTGCAAAGAAAATCCGTGAATCTTACATGGGATTCTGAATGCTTGCTTGGAGGATCTAGCAGGGGAGTGGAACCATTAAGGGTGAATTGGACAAACAACTATATGCTCCCAGCTAAGGGTGGCTTTCTCCTCTTCCACTGAACATGCAAGCAACATTCATGGAGAGTCAAATCAGTCAAATCAACCCACTGATTTGGGTGACAGATGTCACAGCTTTACATCTGTACATGAGATGTAAAGCTGTCCTTTGTAGAACCTTAACCAAAATTAAAGATCACGTGAAGTATTAATCCCACTTTACAATGCCTTGGTAAGGCCACACTTGGAATACTGGATCCAGTTTTGGTCACCACAATGTAAAAAAGATGCTATGACTCTAGAAAGAGTACAGAGAAGAGCAACAAAGATTATTAGGGGACTGGAGGTTAAAGCATACAAGGAACGGCTGCTGGAATTGGGTATGTCTAGTTTGACGAAGAGAAGTACGAGGGGGGACATGATAGCAGTGTTCCAATATCTCAGGGGCTGCCCCAAAGAAGAAGGAGTCAAGCTATTTTCTCAAGCGCCTGAAGGCAGGACAAGAAACAATGGATGGAAACTAATCAAGGAGAGAAGCAACCTAGAACTAAGGAGAAACTTCCTGACAGTTAGAACAATTAACCAATGGAACAATTTGCCTCCAGAAGTGGTAAATGCTCCAACACTGGAAGTTTTTAAGAAAAGACTGGACAGCCATTTGTCCAAAATGGTATAGGGTTTCCTTCCTGAGCAGGGGGTTGGACTAGATGACCTCCAAGATCCCTTCCAACTTTTATTATTATTTATTGTTGTTGTACATGAGATGTAAAGTTGTCCTTTGTAGAACCTTAACCAAAATTAAATGTTAGTTTGAAATAGATGGATTGGCTCAAAGTTACCCAGCTGGCTTCATCCCTAAGGCAGGACTGGAACCAATACTTTAATCACTATGCTGGTTGTCATACAAGCATCGTACCTGTTCAATTTCAGGTGGGTGAGATTTGAGCAAAGCTTAGAGATGTTTACAACATCAACTTACCTTCTCCTAACTGGGGGCTTCTTAATATGACAGCAAAAGGTTATTGAACCCCTTTCTTTAGATGAACCTGGAACTGTCCTTTTCCTTGGTTTGGTGGTGTAAAAAAAGTGAAAGTGCCCCATTTCAAGTAGCTTCAAGGGCAAAAAAAATCACCAAATCATGGTTGGAAACCAAGATACACACCCTCGACCTAAAAGATGGTCATCTGAACTTTGCTGTGAATCCTGGTCTCTGATAGAAACTGCATAGGCTCTGGAAGTCAAGCTGCACTGATTTTATGGAATGAGAATTCTTTATGCAACTCTTTGCAGAAGAATGACAGAGAGCTAATGATCTGCACACAGGTATTTAGAGAGAGAGAGAAGAAAAGTCCTCTTATAGACTTGTTCAGATTGTTCTTCACAAGGATAAATGATTAATACATACAAAGACCCGGAGGCTTTTAAAAAATCTTGCTTGGAGGGCACTTGAAGGAAAAATGTAGAAGCTGATCTTTAGACCTCTCCCTGACACAAACACTGTTGTTTCTCTCCTTTTGATAGAAGAGCATGAGAGTTTTGCTAAGGTTGAAATATTATGAGAGGTAAAGAATTTGCAATCTACGCTGGGGGAAAACCCTCTGAGTTTCAGCAAATTTTTCAGACTTTTAGGAAATGCCTCTCATTTTGAAGTTATATGCAGATATATATTTTTTTCCTCTGGTTTCCTCTATACATTCACATTTGCTAAATTCCTAGAGCAAAGAGATAGATAGATAGATAGATAGATAGATAGATAGATAGATAGATAGATAGATAGATAGATAGATAGATAGGCAGGCAGGCAGACAGACAGACAGGCAGGCAGACAGATGATAGACAGACGGACAGACAGTTTCAGGTTTGCTTACAAGCTGACACAGGTATCATTTGTTTGTTTGTTTTTCTTTAGAAAAAGAAAACAGAAAACCTAAAATGCTATCGCTGCCCAAGAAAACAGCCCTAAAAACTAGACATTTCTACATTTCTCTTTCAGAACTGTGTTCGTATCCACCTTGAACATCTCGGCCAACATATTGACTCTTAGCTTTATACAGTTTTAGGCAGCCTGCAGAAACAAGGCTCTTTAAACAGACATTTGGCAAAAAACGTTTAACAGCCCCAAGATGTTTTATTTGTCAGACCCTTACTGCTGTTCTTACTAACACTTCCAATTACAGTTTATTTTGCTTTGATTGCTTTAAATATTGCTAATTTTGTCCATTGCTTCCTCTGGGAAATGGGCAGTAAACTTTTACAGTCAACAAATAAATGTTTACATAGGAGAATGTGCCATAAAAGAAAACAAGGAATGGATGAAATATCCCATCCAGCTTTGCTTGTTCTCGCATTCCTCAATCACTTTTCTCTCAACAGAAATCTCAGTGTTGTTTTGCCTGCTCAGGTTCCCTTCCACGAGGGTGTTTTGAGATTCTGACAATTTCCCCCAAACACACCACTGTCTCTCTTCCTTCTCATTAGCCCCATTTTGACTCTAGCTGTGGTAACTCAATTAGTAGATTGTCTCAGCCAATTCACAACTACTCCTGTGTTAACAGACCAGCCTGGAAAGCCTAAGGCAGGAGTTAAACCTCCTAAATAAAGAGATAAACCTCCTAAATAAAGAGATCACTTTCCCCTTTTTTTCAACCATCAGATAGAATCTAGCTGAAAAAAAGGAGCAGCCAGCAATACACAAACATTTAAACACCGCAAGTCATATTTACTGGCCCACCTGTTCTGCTGGCTGCATGTATTCCAGTGTGTATATGGCTAAGAAACCAGGGTGTAATTTCCATAACATCTCTAAATGCGTATTTACATACACTTTGCCATCTTTGCTGAATTGGGTGCTCTGGGAACTAAAGTTGTAACAGCCACGGGAAAAGCCTGAAGTTTTCAAATGACCTTGAACGGCAAAAGGGGAATAGCACTGCAACAGATGAAAATTGGCCATCTAGGACTTCAATTCCAAGACAGGAAAAAAAATTAGAGCAACATCACGGATCAAGCAGCACACCCATGGCTTTCAAGACATCATGTCTGAATAAGGCGCGCGACAAAGCTAGCGGCATGAACCTGCTGCTTCTCATCCAAAAATGTTTGAGGGACTTCGTTCTGAACTAAGGCACTTGGGAAAAAAATCAGGCCTTCTAAGAGAATGGAGAAGAAAGCGCTTGGAGAAGTAGCACCCTAAGTATGTAGGAGCTCTTATCAGAGTATGTCACTAGCCTCACAGTTACACCTGCAACCTTTTCTGCATTGCCAAGAAATATAGACAGGAAGCATCTAATCTTCTCCCTGTAGTAATCTATGTTTTCACGAACCCTGAGTCACTACACAAAATCACTATCACATTTGTTATAAGGTCTTCTTCTTCTTCTTTTTAACATTGTGAATAAAAAGCACAATAAAGAGGCAGGCGTTTCCAATATCTCCCATAAATTCCTCTGGGAGAAAGGTTGACTAAGAAGCTTTCAGTTTTCTGAGGCATAAATGATTGCCCGCAGTTTTACTTCACCCCACTGATCCTGAAAGATAGGTCAGAAACATTAGACTGGAATTTGAAGCCAAATGCAGGGCAGGTGACTTTAAAGGTGACATTCAAAGAGTCATTCCTCCCCTGAACCCTGTTAGCCAACTCATTTTCTCAGTTTCTAGGATGGCTTCCAAACCTCCTTAGGCCACCATCTGCCCTCTCCTGACGTTTTTGCTTACTATAGTGACTTGAAATGAATTGTTGTCACAGACCTTTCCCCTTCTTCCCAAGGATGTTGCTGCTTTTGTTAACGTTCAGTGCTGGCCCTTCTTTCTTGAGCAGTTGAGATGTTCATGAACATTCTATGAAAGTAGCACCCCATGGAAGATGACTTAATGACTCCCCACGTTCTTTTGGACTAGCAGGCTCTACCATGCCCAGCATTTGCAAAATTGATGCAACCTACCTTGTTCAGGCACCTGAGACCCCATGGAGGTGACACTGGTATTCAAAACATCATTAACAGCTGTGTCACAGTACAGGCCCCGCTGAGCATCGTGTTCACTATCCGTCTGGTCACTTTCTTCGTGCCCGCTGTCCTTCAAGCTGTTCCCCTCCAAATCTTTGAAGGTTGAGCTGCTGGGTGGAAGAAAGGTGAGTTATTTTTGCTCTGCAGAGTCCACTTGGAGAAACGCAATCACACCTTTCCTCCCCAATGTCTGCCCAGAGGGGATCCAAAGCCTGGGGCAGGTTTTGCAGCACTTCGGGCTTCCCACTGGGAAAAACAAGCTGTGGCAAGAGACCGTTTCCAATACAACAAGTTAGCCACTCTGCTCACCCATCTTCTCATGTAGTGAGGCAGCTGGAACTGGAGACAGACCCAGAAGGTTTTTAAGAAAAGGAAAAAAAGACCACCCTGCGAGTATACCTGCTTGTGGAACAGAGTGAGGACAGGGAGAGTGTTTAGGCAGAGGAGAACCAAAGAAACATTGCAGGCAGATTGGAGGGAGGGAGCAAAATCCCTAGAAGACCCTAGAAGCACAACAGCAAGCCATCCTATGGACATTGTCCGTGCCACACAAAGAGAAAAGGCTGCAATTCACACAAACAGAAGATCCCCGTGAGTATCACTGATGTAAAAATAAACTCTATGAGGTTTACTTAGGTATAGAATTCTGAGGCCAGGGGTCAAGCACAAACAACCAGAATCGCTCATGGATGGTCTCAAGCAGAAGCTTTATTGTTAGTCCCCTCCGTTACAAGAATGTCACCAGACTGACTGCAATCTCTTGGGAATGGTTAGATAAAAGTTCAGGGATTCTAGTGTATATCCTGCCTGTACCACTGCTTTCTGCAGTGCAAGGACTCTAAGCTCCTCTTAACACCTTCCTCCAGTCCAGCTGGAGATTCCACCACATCAGGAGATAGCAAATATCTAAGACAGTGGTTCTCAACCTGTGGGTCGGGACCCCATTTGGGGTCGAACGACCATTTCACGGGGGTTGCCAAACAACGCAGTCCGCCATTTTTTTCCCCCTTTTCCTTAGCTGTGCTACTCCCTTTTATTCTATTGGCTTTTGAAAGCCAATAGAATAGACTCTCTTGAATAGAGTCTAATTCTATTGGCTTTCAAAAGCCAATAGGAATTGTCCAGGCTGTCTCTGCCCTGCTGAGCCCGCCAAAAGTCCCATTCTGCAAACGGTGCTGCACCAGTTGAGTAGTCCTCGACTTACAACCAGTTGAGTAGTCCTCGAATTATGACCGGTTGGGGGTCGCGGCAGTAAAAAGGTTGAGAACCACTGATCTAAGAAGACAAAGCAGCTGAATAGAAGGCCCATGAACTTGATGCAATTATTAAGAATACACAGATTTTCCAAGCTGCCTGAGGCAACAAAGACATTATTTCCCAAGCCAGCTATAGTTTTCAAGCTACTATAGCAGCCTGAGAATGTACTCAGTGACACATTTGGTTTAAATTCAGCTTTTTTCCTCAACGGGATGCTGTTATTATTTAACATATTTATAGGTTGCCACCTGAGAAGGCACTATGAGCTGCAAACAAATAATAAAGTAACAAGAATAATTTCTAGGTTCCTAAAATGTTATTATCATGTTATTCCTTAATAAAAATGATAATCATCTGATAATAGCAACAACAATAATTTTAGTGCTTAAGAGGAGCTCAGTGCTAAATATTATGTCCAAGCTAATTAGGGGATTCCCCCAGCTCTAAGCTGTTTAGTATCAATGCAACGGTTTGATCCTGGAAAAAGATGTAGCTGCTTTAAAGAGTTGCAGGCAGTTGCTACATATTGTAAGTGGCCCTGAAGGACCTTTCTAAGAAATTAAAAAAAAAAAAAACTCATCCCGTCAGAGAACCATAGCAAACCACTTCCTTTGTTAACCGGAAAACCACATGGGTGTCTCCATGAAGTCATCAAGCCTTGAGTTCAACTCAAAACAGACTTCACTACCTATTGTCTTGTGCAAACCCAGCACCACAACTATATCCCAGCAGAGAACAAATAAATAATTCTAAGGTGCTTCTCACAGTTCCAGGAGTTAGATTCTTACTGATCGTGTGACTGGGAGGGAAATGGCTTGCTAACCTTACAGTTCCAATTAGCTGCCATCAGGGTTGCTTAATTAGCTAACTCTTCTTCCAATAAGGCAGCAGCTAATCATTCAGAAATTATGTGCTTGCATGCACTTGTTAAAGAGTCCGATTGGACATGTTGGCAGCTGAACCTTGGAAAGCAGGTAGACTTTAAAGGCAAGATTTTAGATAAACAACCCATTGCAAAGCCCAGGTCAGGTCTCCATCTAAATTGGGGATATCAAACTGCCAGCCTGCGGGCTGGATGCATCATGCAGAAACCGCCGCCCATCCCAATGGGGAAAAAGTCACGATACATTGTGACATGTCACGTGACGTGACGAGTTTGACACCCCTGATCTAAACAATCAGGTTGGGATGTCCTAGTGAAGCTGAAACAGCATGCAGAGAAGAGGAACAACATCTCTATAGACAAGCACCAAGCCTGGAACATCTTCAAACATGACCTTTTAAAGTAAAGACATATTTGCCGAATCCCTTTAAGTCTAAGATTTATCCAGCATGCATGCGCTACAGAAAGCTAGTAAGAAATCAATTCAGAAAAGACTAAACAGATTAAAGGAGTAAAAAGTTTTTTAAGATTCCATACTGCAACGTTAAGGCAGCAATCATTCCTCTCCAGAAAGTGGGGGGGGGAGGTTTGCTGGATTAAACACATACCAGAGGATTACTAGCTGACATTTCAGCCATTTTGTGACACTCATTAGAATAATACTTCGGCAATACCCCTTCGCTAACATTCTTACCCTTTCTCTTAGTTTTATCCCTTAATATCTAAGGAAAGGTACTTAAAGACTAAACAGAACTTGTCAACCAGCCTTATATCATTGGCCCATTGATCCACCCTGCACAGGATAGGTATCGGTTCTCCACAGCACCAAGTGAAGTCCACTCTGGTTCTGTTCCTCGGCAGCTCAAACACTAGAAAAGCTGGACCCTAAAACTTTATAAAAGAACCTATGTTGTTGACTGAGTTCTTCAGGGTCTTTAATTCAATGCTCTCTCCCAAATGTATCAACTATCAAACTTTAGCATGCCAAGAATAACCTACAACCTCTATAGATGCTGCTCTAGCATGAAAAAATAAACCCTACATGTCACTATTTAATTATTCCACGGAAGAAATCTAGATTCTCTTATATCTGCCCCCTATATCAGTCTAAAAGGGGAGGGAGGTATTGACCTAGCAGTTAAAATGCTGACCTTGTCAACCTGAAAGTTGACAGTTCAAGACCCAAATACCGCGTGACAGGTTAAGCTTCCATCCTTGCCCCAGCTCCTGTCAACATGGCAGTTTGAAAGCCTGCAAAAGCAAATAGATAAATAGGTACCACTTCGGTGGGAAGGCAACAGAATTCCTTGCACTTCAGCATATAGTCATGCCACCCACATAATTGCGGAAGTGTCTTTGGACAACACTGATTGCCTTGGCTAGAAAATTGAGATAAGCACCAACCTCTAGAGTCAGACACAACAGGGCAGGCGAAACCTTTACCATTTTTATACCAGCCTGCCTTCAAACTGTCTTTGGAGAAGGGAAGAATTTGTATTGTGAAGAAGCTAATGCTGTGGCTTAAGAACCAGACAAAAACTCTAGAAGGTCTCTTTGGAAAATGGGGAAATCAGCTGAGGATTCCAGCTTTCTCCCCACGGTCATTTCAAAGAAAAGATACTAGGTCTATAGGGCTGCACAATCCCTTGAAATATCTTTTGTTGTGATCCTCAGGAAAAAGAGCTGTAATGTGATAGGCCACCAGGTTCCTACTATAATCAGCAGAAACTGCTCCTAGCATTCTCAGATGTTAGTAAGTCTTCTCTGCAAGCCCATGAAGGCTCTGTGAACTTCTCTTGTGTCACGACACAGTTGCGGCAATAGACATTCCTGAATTCTTATCAATATCATTGGAAAGTCTGAGTTACAGGCAGAGCAATAATGCTTCAGTAGCAAAATAACTGTTCCCAAGGAAACACATATCACATACCCAGTGAAGCAATATATCAACATTCAGATGGTTCGTTGGACAGTGTACAAGATGTACAGCTGTTTGCTTCCTGGCTTTAGCCTGACTTCCAGTTCCCTTGTATCTTTTCCATTTCTGGATGCTTTGTTCTTGAACTTTTGATTTTTTCTTTCCTTGTTCTTAAACTTAACTACCTTCCGAGTAGTCCCAGCTTCCAACAGGGAACCTACCTTACTTCAACTTTTACCAATCCAGACAATACATGTTTCAGTCTAAGACTGCAATAAAGACTTGTTTGTTCAGTTCACGTGTGTCTTCCAGCAGCACAAGACTCCCACGAGGAGACAAATCAATTCTTTACACCCCAAGCCCATTTTTCTCAAAGTACAGTGAGATTTTTCTTCAGTTACACTTCCCCACCACCCTCAGCTTTGAGCCTACATCATTTTCACTGTCCATTTCCTGTCATGATGGCTCTGGAGGAGAAAACCATGAATAGCTTCCCTCCCTGGAAGAAATCTTTATTGGAATACAAGAAGCAATTCAACACAGGAGGCAATTTTCCCCCTACTAGCAATTACCACCGTGGTTAAATATGATGAACTACCCTATTTAACAAACACTTCCTTCGGAACGGGCGCTACTTCTCATCTCCTACTTACAACCGTCATCGCCTAAACGCACGGGATTTTTAGGCAGGAGGATAATCAGATCTTCTGAAAGAGCAGAATGAATTCCACCAACCCATTAACAATAATTCCTCCCAGATGACCGACGCAACCTAATAGTAGAGCTGGGAAAGAGAATGAAAAGTAGTTACTGCAATGCTAATTAAGACCGCAGCATTTGAACCAATTCATCTGTTAGAACAGTGGTTCTCAACCTGTGGGTCGGGACCCCATTTGGGGTCAAACGACCATTTCACGGGGTCGCCAAACAACGCAGTCCGCCATTTTTTTCCCCTTTTCCTTAGCTGTGCTACTCCCTTTTATTCTATTGGCTTCTGAAAGCCAGTAGAATAGACTCTCTTGAATAGAGTCTAATTCTATTGGCTTTCAAAAGCCAATAGAAATTGTCCAGGCTGTCTCTACCCTGCTGAGCCCGCCAAAAGTCCCATTCTGCAAATGGTGCTGCACCAGTTGAGTAGTCCTTGACTTACGACCGCTTGAGTAGTCCTCGACTTATGACCAGTTGGGGGTCGTGGCATTAAAAAGGTTGAGAACCACTGTGTTAGAACAAATTGATTATGAAAACCGATTCTGATAGATTTCAAAAATGCCGCCAATTAATCAAGTAACAGTTATGGGGGGGGGTTCTGAATGTGTATTTTTAGCAGCAGCACCTTAAAAAAAATCAGCATTAGAGCCCAGCACCAAACACACTCACAATCCAACACATACACATGCACACATGGCCCCACTGGCTCCATCTATAATGTTTGTTCTTGGTCTCCTATTTTAAAGCCAAAACAAAAACTCCCATCTATCGGATGTGAGTTTATAAAGAGGCTTGGAAAACATCAGGAGAAATGTTAGAAATCAACTATCAACAGATAGAAGAGCAGTTCATTAATACCTTATCTCAGAAAAGGCAGCTTACTCCAGATTGCAACAACAACAAAAATCTGGGAAATAAGAGTCCACTTCAATGAATTCATTAATAAATAAGGTCGTGGTGGTTCTTGATGCAGTTTTCAAGACTCTGTACTATATCTCTAATTCTTGCATTAAAATGTCCTTCAGAGAATCTTACTATTACCAATAGAAGAGAATATTTGTAGCCCATGAATTGAACTGTCCTTGGTGCTCTCTGAGCTTGGTTGTTATCTTGCAAATGTTTTATTATCCAACTAGGTAACGTCAGAGGTAGCTGAACTGTCTGTAAGAAAACAACCAAGCTCAGTCCCCACAATTCTTAACCCTGCTTCCACCAATTGTTCCTGGCCATGGGGACTTGAAACCAGATTGACTAGTTCTTGAATGCAATCCTTCTCATAGGCAAGCAAGTTTAGCCTCTAAATACAAGTAGTACTCAATTTAGGACTGTAATTGAGCCCACAATTTCGGTCATAAGTCGTGACCATCCTAAAATAGGTCACCACATGACCGTTGCCTGATTTTACATGACTGCAGGGGGAGGAGCAGATGTTGGAACTTTGAATTCGGGTCATAAGTCCCCATTTTGGGATCCACCATAACTTCAAATGGTTGCTAAGCAACCGGTCATCAATCAAAGACGACCTGTAACGACCTGGCTCAAAAAAGAGGGTGCCATTTGTCAGAATAGAAGATGTTGAAAAGGAACCAACGATCAGGTAGATCCAATAAGCAGATTTGGAAAGCACCAGCAACATTCCCAGTCGTTTGTATCCCTGTTTCACCTCATCTGCACCCAAGTTTCTTCTTCCTAAAAAGAATTCCAACAGCTGTAAGAACAAGATGCACTAAAACATTGCCTGATGGCTCAAAATCTGACGAATCTCCTACAGTTCAGCCGCCCTCCTTCAACTCAGGATCTACGGGAGTTATAATCGAACACATTTTGCCAGATGGGACAAAAATATCTACAGTGCGTAATTCAACCATGCAAATTTAAAACCGCGGCAAACCCATGCTTATTCCCTTTCCGCGTATGGGCATATGGGTTAGAGCAGCCACCTACTGTGTGAATTAAATGGAAGATTTCCTGTGACAACCAAGATTAAATTGAGAAAAATCCCAGAGTATGTTGTAACGGAAACAGCGAGGAGTCTTCTGCAGCTTCAAAGATAAAAACTAGGAAGATGTATTGCTGACACTCGGGGGGTTTCGGCCATTCCTTCTCTCTCTTTCACGCTCTCAAAGTCACCGACCTTATTGCGAGCACATTTACGGAGAACCCGGGAACCAGAAATCCAGGTTGGCAAAGTGAGTTTTGGGGGGGGGGGAGAAAGAAAGATGGGATGAAATAAAGAAAGGATGAAAGCGATCCGGGAAGTGCCTTAGGGTCTCAGAAAGAAATCCATTTGCTACCTCCGGCCTGGAATTGAAGCGAGCAGCAGGGTGTCACCTCAAAGTGTCTTCAAAAAATTTATCAGTTGATGGAATGATTATAATTCAGCCCAGAAAGCCAGCCAGATTAGAATTAAGTAAAATGTGATGTGTTTAAAGAAATCCAAGCTTAGAAGGCATTAAAAAGTCAAGAAGGAAGAAAACTTCAAGCCGAGCAAGCTTCTTATAGTCTTCGTGCTCTTTGCACACGTGGACCGTTCATTTGTTTGGTTGCGCAAAATAATCTTTGCTCCTCCCATCAAACGGATAGAACATGAGATCTCTGACCTAACAATTTAGTTAAGCAAACGCACCTACCCAAAACCCTTTGACACCACCACCAATTTTAGACTAGGACATTCAGAGTCCATGGCCATCCTGAGGTTGGACTCTAAACCCCATCATTCACAGCCTCGGTGAGGCTGAGGCAGGTAAGAATAAAAGTTCAATCATCCCTGTCGGGTCAAAAGATGGTTAGCCCTTTTAAATCATGATGAGGTTGATTGATGAAGAAGCGGATACCAAGTCCCTGGCAACTGAATCCTATTTCAGAACTTTATTTAAAGACATTGAAAGTGGAGGTATTGGATGGATACAAGAAGGAAAGAATAATCTAGTTCCAACGCTCCAGATAATGTCTACTGAGATGTTAGTAATTATTATTATCAACACATTCCCAAGGAATTACATTCACTTTCTGGTTTATGCTTGAAAGAAATTGGGCAATAAACAAATTCTTTGAACGGGGAGGAAATAGTTGAGTTAAAGAGATGGGGACACATCATAATACAAATATTATTTTTCCTTGCCAAATCCTTCTTTAAAAAAAAAAAAGATGCAGGATCAATCTGTGGCAGTTCCTCCCCCCCCCCATTCTCTTCCTCCATAGCTTAGAGAAATCTCCAGCACCAGCTTCCCCATTTTGTATTTTATACAGTGAAATAAACTCTATGAATTTTTAAGTTGTCAGGATAACAGAATTTTGCCTGACTCTACACCACTCCTATGTATGAATGAGTTTTGGATTGGGTTGGGTTGGGTTTGACAAAAAAAAAAGCCTTTAAAAGCCAAAAGTGGCGGGGGTTTACTAAGATGTAAAGTTTTACTTATTTACTTTGAGTAAGCTGTCCCCTCCGCCGCCATCACCGCCCCATCCCCAAATCAAGAGAGCAGATTTTGCAAAGGAAATAATAAGCCGATGGGAATGAATTAAACAATTTGGCTTTGGTGTGAAGCTGAGTCCTTTCCCCTCCCCCAAATACACCCAGTACCCCACCTACCTTTTTATTAAATGAGCTCTGCTGTTCACATAGTTGGAATCAAAGGAGTAGTTTTCGGTCTGAAAGGAACGGAAGAAAACAGAGATGGTTACACACAAAGTTCGCTGGCATTTGGGAATAGCTAAGCCAGTTGGGACAAAAATCATAAAGGGGAACTTCAGCAGAGCTTAGCCATGGGTCACCAACAACGTGGTCGTTTCATTCAGGGCATCACAGCCCAGTCAAAGCATGGAGAACACCAAGTCATTTACTGTACGTAACACAGCAGAAGGTTCAGTCTGTGTCATAGGTAATGAGATTAAGGAAATCCCTGAAGATTACTTTAGAGCAGTGGTTCTCAACCTGTGGGTCGGGACCCCATTTGGGGTCGAACGACCATTTCACGGGGGTCGCCAAACAACGCAGTCCGCCATTTTTTTCCCCTTTTCCTTAGCTGTGCTACTCCTTTTTATTCTATTGGCTTTTGAAAGCCAATAGAATAGACTCTCTTGAATAGACTCTAATTCTATTGGCTTTCAAAAGCCAATAGGAATTGTCCAGGCTGTCTCTGCCCTGCTGAGCCCGCCAAAAGTCCCATTCTGCAAACGGTGCTGCACCAGTTGAGTAGTCCTCGACTTACGACCGGTTGAGTAGTCCTCGACTTACGACCGGTTGGGGGTCGTGGTATTAAAAAGGTTGAGAACTACTGCTTTAGAGACCGTCTTCTCCCATTTGTTTCTATCCATCCAATTCAGGCAGGCATGCTGAGGGTCCCATCAGCCAAGAAATGAAGGCGAACGTACGTGTCCCACAATAATGTTGCAGGATCCAACCTGGGTCAGTCACCAGGACCAGAATTTACTCTTCTGAGCTTTCAGACTCAGCTGGAGCCCATCAGGAGTCCAAAAGCTCAGAAGACAAAAGCTCTGATCCCTGGGATTGACCCAGATTAGATCCTGCAGCCAAGAAACATGGGCTGGATGAAACCAGGAGATGTGCCTTCTCTGCAGTAGTCTTTACTTTCAGAAATATTCTCTCTTTGGATATCAGAATGACCTCAAACTTGTTGGCTTTTCACAAGACTAGTGCCTGGGTCCTTGAGTGTATTAAGGGCCTCATTTCCTGGCTGCATTAAAATCCAAAGCAGCAGGTTTTTCTAGGTGCCAAATATATTTACCTTGCATGGTTTTAATCAGTTTTATGGCTTATGATGTAGAGTGCCCAGAGGTGCTGGATGAAATGGTGGCTATAGAAATCAATAGATAATGTACACGTACAGTATTCCACCACCCGTTTCCCTCTTCAATAGGCAACAGGTGGCAACCACTCCATCATGCAGTCTGTTCTTTTTCTCCTAGCTGATCCTTTTTAAAGAGCTGTAATACAGAGAAAAGTGCTTTTTTTTCTCTCCCTCTCTCCTCCCCTTCCTCAGTTTTTTCTCATAGGTAAGTCCATAAGTCTGTAAGCCTGACCTTTGGCAAAATACATTTGTGAGACTTTTTGACTCAAGGCAGAGGTAAATCTGTTCCAAATAAATAATTATAGCCAGCCACACTGTAGGTAGTAAATTCCACCAGCTGGCTGACTTCCCTGCTTCTCTACAACTTGCATTTCTGCCCTGCTTTTCTTTTAGGACAGTGGTTCTCAACCTTTTTAATGCCGCGACCCCCAACCGGTCATAAGTCGAGGACTACTCAACCGGTGGTAAGTCGAGGACTACTCAATTGGTGCAGCACCATTTGCAGAATGGGACTTTTGGCGGGCTCAGCAGGGCAGAGACAGCCTGGACAATTCCTATTGGCTTTTGAAAGCCAATAGAATTAGACTCTATTCAAGAGAGTCTATTCTATTGGCTTTCAAAAGCCAATAGAATAAAAGGGAGTAGCACAGCTAAGGAAAAGGGGGAAAAAATGGCAGACTGCGTTGTTTGGCGACCCCCATGAAATGGTCGTTCAACCCCAAATGGGGTCCCGACCCACAGGTTGAGAACTACTGTTTTAGGACAACTCCACAAGAATGGTTAGACCAGAGGACCAAATTCACATCACAAGCTTTAGGGCAATTTAGCAATTATCACATCTCTAGTTGCATCCTACCTTGCTTTGGGAAAATTATGAAACAAATGGCACACTTTTAAAGTTACACAAGGACTACAGGGATGAAGGGTCAACTCAATTACGGGCTCTAGAAATCATTTATTTCTACATATGTAATACAGTTAGCAGAAATTCTACAAAGATCAGGGTACCATCATTATTTAACTGGATGTAGGGGAAGAGCAGGTAGAGATTGGAGGGGGGGGGCGTTAAATGCATCATCAGCCTAGAATCATTACATTGCCACAAACAGTCCAATTGCAACCCCTCTTGCATTCCCCTGACTCCTACCTGGCACCAATTTAGTACTGAACTTTAGTTGACCAGATTCTTGTGAATAGGCTTGAGCCATAAATCTTAACATACTGTCCTGATTCTTCACGCTGACGTTGGGTGGATTGTTTTTTAACACTCTTTACAAAATTCCATTGTTTGGGTAGGAAAGGCAACTTTAGAGTTGCAGCGTGTTAGGTTCTGAAAACAGTTCCCAGGAGGCCACTCTGTGTTGCTTGGCTAGATGAAAATCGAGTTGGACATGAAGAAATATCCAGCAAGGTATGTTATGTGTTGGCTAAGAAGATGTGACAGCTGTTTCACCTTGGAATTTGTATTGGCAATAAGACCTCTTTTCTTCTCCCCCCGCCCCACCTTCATCTCAAAATACCCCAGTCCTGTTAAATCCCGCATATCAGGTCCTGGAAGAAAAAGATCCAAATTCCTTTTATCTTGATATATAATAAACTAAAAACAGGCTGCAGCCTTTCGATCAGCTGCCTCTCGCCTGCTGATGGAGCCGCTACGATGTCTCAGAATGTTCACAAACATTTAGATTCCTCAGGGGGAAGTATCAACTATATATTAAAAAAAAAAAAAAGACAGAAACGGATCAGTTTATAGAAGGGTAAGATATACCGAAGCTGGAGTGGTCAGGAACAAAGAAGCAGCAGATAAGGGAACAGAAGAGGGGGAATCAAAGCAGAGGAGCAAGGAGAAGCTAAGAGATAAAGAGATCTGGAGAGAAATTCGTGTAAACATTACAGACTAAAGATCCTCAATAGGAAATGGCCAAAACCTGGAAGATGGAACAGGAAAGCAGACTCAGAATAGAAGAGGAGGAGGAAGAGGAGGAGGAGGAGGAGGAGGAGGAGGAGGAGGAGGAGGAGGAGGAGGAGGAGGAGGAGGAGGAGGAGGAGGAGGAAAATGGTATAGGTCTGAAGTGGGGTAGGGTTTCCTGCTTGAGCAAAAGGTTGGACTAGAAGACCTCCAAGGTCCCTTCCAACTCTGTCACTCAGTTAGTCTACCCAGAAATAATTTGTCGTTCTAAAGAGCCAACCCATCCATCTGTCAATCATTCTGTGCATGGATTCAGGCACTGCTCACACCTTTCCCAGCCTACCTGTGATATCTTAAGGACAAGTGCTCAAGAGAAGAGGAAGGCAGCTATTAACAAGGAATACTAGCAGAGTTGAAAGCAGAACCACCAGTACCCTACGCCCCAGTCAGGTTTTGTATTATTACTCACGTTGCATCCTATTTGAACAGGCAAGAATGAACCACAGTGTCTCCTTACTTGAAGCCCAATGTCTACATCTGCTGGAGGCCTGGACCCACAGGACAACTTTTCAATCCCTTCCTAGGACAATTACAAATCCCTACACATGTACACTCCATACATGAAGAAGTCCATGCACATTCAACGAATACATGATAAATGAAAAGGGCTGCAGTCCTTCCTAGAATAATCACAAGCAAGGACATACAACAAATGTGCAGGCTACATTTTGGTTCCAAGCTAGCAATGTTTAAAGCAGCCCTGGCCACCAACCATAACTCTTTTTCAAAAAAATATATAAGCACAGTACAATTAAGTACAATTTTCAAAAAACAATTCAAAAAATACAAGCACAATACAATTAAAAAAAAACAAGTACTTCCCAGGGATAAGGACTTTATCTGAAGAAGAACCAATTTGATCTAAAACAGTGGTTCTCAACCTTTTTAATGCCGTGACCCCCCAACTGGTCGTAAGTCGAGGACTACTCAACCGGTCGTAAGTCGAGGACTACTCAACTGGTGCAGCACTGTTTGCAGAATGGGACTTTTGGCGGGCTCAGCAGGGCAGAGACAGCCTGGACAATTCCTATTGGCTTTTGAAAGCCAATAGAATTAGACTCTATTCAAGAGAGTCTATTCTATTGGCTTTCAAAAGCCAGTAGAATAAAAGGGAGTAGCACAGCTAAAGAAAAGGGGGAAAAAAATGGCGGACTGCGTTGTTTGGCAACCCCCGTGAAATGGTCGCTCGACCCCAAATGGGGTCCCAACCCACAGGTTGAGAACCACTGATCTAAAACCAGTCTGGTCTAGTGGTTAAGGCAGGAGACGGTGAAAGCAGGAGACGGTGAATTCAAGTCCTACCTTAGCCATGAAAGCCAACTAGGTGACTTTGGGCCTGTCCTTCTCTCTCAGCCCAACCCATAGGTTTGCTGTCGTGGGGAAAATAGGGGGAGAATCATGTTTTGGATATGTTCGCCACCTTTAGTTATTTGTAAAAATAATAAAGACAGGATACAAACAAACGAACCAGGGGAAAGTTGACCTCGCCAACCTGGCTCGGTTATTGTTCTGGCTTTGTAGTCACTGCTGGATCGCCAAGCTGGAAACCTCGTGCAGAAAACCCTCCGCCTCTGACCTGTCGTCCCTTCTTGTGCTTGCAGGATGGTTTAGCAACCAAAGCACTCAGAGTCTCAGCAGGAAAATGTTCTTCCTTTCTTTCTTTTTCTAAAAATGCTGCAGCCTCCAGTTTATGAAACTGGATTTTTGGCAGCGTAGCCCATTTTTTTAAGAGGCTGTCATGGCTACAGCTGTGCTAACCCAAGAATGAGAGAGGGGGCAAGGGGACATCAGATGCTGGGCCCAAGTCTGCCGAAAGAGTGCAAAGCAGAGAGAAGATGAGGGCTGCAGAGGAGGCCCATCCCGCCTCTACT